AAATCCCGCTATTTATTCCTCACATACCTAGTTACACTACATCTTGTTGTTTTACTGTGCCTCACTGGTGTTCTCTGAATACACTGCATTTTCTGGGTAAATTATTTCCCTGTAGGTAATGGTGTGCCAATTCCAGATAATAGACTTTTCACATGCTGCTGTTAAGCTATGCACTGGACACAGTTGTATATATTCTTGTTACACTAGATGAATCTTGAGCTTCTTAAAAGAAATTTGTGTATATCACAGTTGCTCCAAAGTTGACTTGAATTGCTCTTCAACAGTGGAATATTATATTTGCTAAGGAGAAAATATTCCCCTCTGCCCTATAAAGAAACTGCTGCATACAAGTTATTTAATATTGTTTGTGAGTACATAATGATTGATTACTACTGAATGGGCTGTAAATGATACTTTTCTATATAAATTTTATTTTAAGAGTTAAACTATAAATTTTAAAGGAATATTCAGCTATTACTGTTTATCGGCTTCTTGATTATAACAAGAAGTTTTACAGAGTGCAATAAAGGAAGAATTACTGGATTTTTTTTTTTTTCTGAAAATAAAAGATTCAAGAAGGTTCTTTGGCCATACGGTTTGTAATGGCTCTGACAAGGTGCACAGATAGGTATATGGTAATGAGGTAAGCAGATGATTAAAGATTCAGTAAAAATTCAGAATTGAGATGACATGAAGAAATGTCTTCAACTTCTTATATTCCTTTACTGTTTAAAGGTGCAATTTCTGTAGGTTTCCTTGTGTTGGTTTTTTTTGTTTGGTTGGTTTTTTAGGTGTTTTTTTTTAATTCACTTGCACTTGTCTTGGTGGGTTTAGTTACTGCATATCTTTGGTACAAAATGTTACTCAGCTGCTCAGCGCGTGAAATTCAAGCTTATAATGACACAACCTCACATATTTTACATACTTGGGCTTTGAGACACGAATGAATAAAGGGTACATTTTCAACTAAGAGGCTATAAGAAGCAGAGGGGCAGAGGGTTTGCATTCAGTTTCTGTAGGCATGTAATAGTGTTATGTGTTGCATATTAATACATCCATGTTCTCTGAAACCGCACAGCTATTCCTCTGATTCAAAAAATACTTTATTTGTGAAGACTGTGGCTACTGGAAGCCGGAAGGTTGTTTTTACACCCTGTATCGTTGTTTGTTGGTGTTTGTTCTGTCTGCGTTTCTGCTCACATCTGTATAAAATGGAGATACAATCAAAACAAGCCGAGTCTAAAGGAGTAGACATAAAGTCAAAAAAAAGGAGTAGCCATTTGATTTCCTCTTTGCTGGACCAGAATGCTAAAAACCTTGTGGGAAAAGAAAAACCTAATGAGTATAGAAATGGAAGGATTCCATCAGTTTTACGGATGGGCAGATACAAGGTTGACTTTGAAGAGCTGTTAGTGAAGTGAATTATCCGCTTAAGGTCCAAGGATTCTTGAACGCGAGGTCTGCTGCGTGGTTGCGTGGCAGGTAAGAAAGAGGGATTGGTTGGCATTTACGTTTGCAGAGTTAACGTTTACCAAATCGTATCTGATGTTCTGCATCACTTGTTTTTGTCATATGGAATAGGAAATAACTGCCAGCCGTAGTTACCGCTGTAGGTAAATCCTGTAAACTTTCTTCTTTTGATGGTTCTTTAATATTTCTTAGTCTAGTAAAGGTCTGAATTTCTATATAAATCCAATACATTCCAATACAATTGCTGTCTTTTTGTAAAATGGTAATGGCTCATCTATTTTTGAACGGCTGATTGCTGATGCAGTCCCTGTTTTCAGCCATAGCGTCACCCAAGTACTGCGATAAGTCAGCTATTTTCAGTCTTTGCGCCGCACAAACAGGTACAGTTGCAACATGAGTACTGGACGTGGTAAGACTTTTCCCTTTCCAGCTTGAAGATGGGTGTTAACAGAATGATAATGAGCTATTCTTAGCTAATTGTGTTATAATGAAGCAGAAAGCTTTCCAACCACGACAGTGGACCTGCAAATCCTTCCAGTCTAACTCATCTCGCGTGAGGGTTTTTTGTCTTGGGAGAAAACAGCCCTGTGTCGTGTCGCAAGTGAGCGAGTGGGAGAGGATCCAGAGAGGGCAGAAATTCTGCCCTAATTTATCCAGGCCTTTGTGCTGTCACTGTGATAAGCATAAACTGGGAAAAAAAGGTTTCCAAAAATGGCTTGCCACGAGTAGATATTCTGTGAACTCCATTCCAGAAGCTGATATAAATGTAATTGCAGGTGAGATCATGTCCCTTAGAAAGAGGCTTTTACAAATCATCGCCATTTCCTGGGTAAGTATTGCCCTGGGAGTTTTTTCATGTTACAGTTCATGATTTTAATGCTTCGCTTCACTTGCTCTGAGATCTTTTGGGGATTTACACACTTGCTGGACTTGGATGCTGTTTGCCTCAAGCTTTTAGGAATTCCAGAGGGTCTCCTGGGGTAAGGTAATTCAGGTTTGACTGCATGGTTGCAGGGAAATATGCAGACGTTCCTCATTCCTGGAAGGATCAGTAGCGTGCAACGAAACCTTCTTAGTCTGTCCGAAACCTGGAACAACACTTTGATAGTGTTTGCTGTCTGGACGTCAGGCCTTCTGCGGAGACCAAAAGGAAGTTCTCTGTTAATTGTATTTAATTTTGCACTGGGAATTAGAAAAATAAAAATTGAAACTGAAAATTAAAATCAAATGTAGGAAATTTATTTGGGAACTTCATCTGGTGAAAAGATTTCCAATTAGCTGCTTTCTGAAAATGGTTATTAGATCTATAAATTCAGCAGCAATAACGTGGCTCAATCAATGAAAATTTTTAGTGCTCTTTATTAGTTCATTCACTTCGTAATTAGGTAATGATAAGCAAAGCAAGATAATTTTTTTTTTTTAAAAAAGGGGAAATGAACAAATTCAGCTATTGATTTTATTAGTAAGTGTCAGTGGCTTCTCTGGAATCTAATCAATAGTGAGTAAAAGTGTAAAACGGTTGCTGCCAGCACTCCAAAGTGGAACCAGTACAGATCAGCTGGGCTTTCCCTGGGGATTTAGCGTCTCTGAGCACAGCTGTACTGACCGTAGTTTTACAGGGAAAGCTCTGTACGAAATGCTGTGTGTACGAATGAATGGGAATATTATTTCATACCACGGAGGATTAAACCTCTCGGTCCTGTCCAGCTTGCTTTAGAGCCAAGGAGCGATGCTGAGCTGTCGGAGCTTTGTAGCATTTCTCTGAAATTCTCTACTCTTGAATTGTAGCGGCTCATCTGATGTCATTTCGGACGTATTTAAGAACTGAGTTTCCTTCTGGTGTGCATTGATGGAGTTAGTCTGGGTGCAGTTCTGAAATGTTGGCTACTGCCGGTAAATGGTTGGTTTGTTGCGTTCTAAAAGCCTTTTCCTGAGGGTTTTAGAAGAAAATAACAATTTGTGGCAACATGAATGAATGTTCCAAAATACCGGCTACTAGGAGTAATGGTTAAACATTCCTATATTAGAGCTCGTTAACAAATTTATATGATAAAATTATTCTGCTTCCTTATGTGAAAAAGAATCTTCCAGTCACAGGCACATCAACAAGAATGGAAATTATTTTTCTTATTTAAAACAATGTCATACTTTCAAATTATGCTTCTGTTTCCCCTGCGAGCGTTGGGATCAGTCACATCACAGCCTTGCTTTGTAAAGCACACGGGAAAGGATGGAGCACCGGGGACTTCATGCAGCTCAGGCTTAAAAAACCAAAACCGTTCCTGTTTGTAAATCTCCAGGGACTTGGGTGTCGCAGGGACCCTCTGAAGAGCAGGAGAGGTTTTAAACCCCACGAACAGGAGAGCAGGAATCGGTTGCAGGGCAGGCCCCAATGCTGGTGGCTGCTCGGCCACCGCTCCTGGCCTGCCTGCGCAAATAGTGCTCGGGTGGAGCTGTAATGCCATCAGAAGTCAAATACATTTTTGCATTAATCACAAAAATGATGCTTAATACATTTTTTGCACTGTTAGGGACCAGAACTTTGCTGGACAAGTGCTGTTTTTCATTCCTTTCCCATTTCTGAAGTACCCTGCCTTACCCAGTGAAGTGCCCGAGAAGGAAAAAGAAAATTCTTCCCTCTCCGTGACTGCCTAAAGAGGCAATCGTACAGGCCTAAAAATAACCAAGGAATCCGAAACACAAGTCTTGGTGAAATTCAGGCCCTCCCTCGGTGGGAGTTTTGCCATGAATTTCAAGGAGTTCAGGCCTTCGTCTGATGTGTTGGCCAACGCCTGAAGTCGAGTTGTTCCTGGGCGGTTGTGCCAGCTGCCTCTTGTTCTGCTTCCCAGAATAACCACTTCGATAAGGTATTTACCACTTACAAATATGGAACGGGTCCCGTAGTCAGCACTTCACATTGCAGAGGAGCTGTCATTTAAAAACACACAGCAAACGCTTCCCTGAAACCGTGTGTGGGTTATTTTTGGTTGGTTGGTTAAGACTGATGATGACGCTCTAAGAAAAAGTCAAATTAAATATGCCGCTAGGGAACAACTGCAGTCTTTGAAGTAATGAATGTTTGGTGATTCTTATTTACCATCTAACTACTAACATCAGAACTGGTAGGTGCATACGATCAATTCCTTTTTAACAAATGGAATTTCTAGAAGGTAATTCAGCCTTGGAGGGGATGGGGTTGTGCTTGCCGAAGTCCCAGCCGAGCTGCATAGGTATCCCCCAGCTGAACTCGCCCCGTGGTCACGGCGCCAATTAAAGGAATATCACAGGGCCCCTGGAGGCTACAGCAGAGGAGGTTTCCCTTTTGGAATTAATTAATTTACTTTGGTACAACCTATTCAAGCCGAAATTTATGTGGATGCTTTTAACATGCTTTGCAAGATCAGGGCTTTAGCTTAGACTTTGCTGTTGAGGTTTATTCTTTTCCAAGATTATTCTTTACAGCAGTTTGCTCTCTAAATGATGGAGAGTTGCTTCTGTCCTGTTCCCTTCCCCCTCCTTCCCCCCAAATTACTGTTTTGCAGCCAAAATTGTGAGGCACTATGTGCGATGACGATGAAACCACTGCCCTTGTATGTGACAACGGCTCTGGGCTTTGCAAAGCTGGGTTTGCAGGAGATGATGCCCCAAGAGCCGTATTTCCATCCATCGTTGGACGTCCTCGCCATCAGGTCCGTCGGTACCAAAATGGAAGTGCAGTCTGGTTTGCATGGTTGTTTTGGGTTGGTTTGGGGTTTTTGTAGGTTTTTTTGAGACTTCAGACATGGCAGTGATAAAGCATCAAGTTTTCTCAGGCAAAACTCCCAGCGGCCTTTGTAGTTTAGCTTGTTAAGAACTGGAGGATTGAGCTGCACATCTTTAATGCCATGAGGTAAACTTATTGATCCTTTGGAAAAGGTGTTCTTCAGCCATAAAATGTTGGCCATAAAAGAACGTAAGTGTTTTAATGATATGAAGGTGTCTTATGGAAAAAAAACCAACCAACTTGCTGGATTAATTAGTACTTGCTGTATTAATACAAAGAAAAAAGATAGGCAGAACATTTCTAGCATGAGAAACCAAATGAATAATAGTGATAGGTTCCTCTTACTGTGCCATTAAGCAACGGTATGGCCCAATAAACTTCCAAAGAAGGTCTCTAGCGCATCACTTTATCAACTCAAACAGGACTGGAAAGCATAAATGTGGCTTTTCTTGACCTTGGAAAGGGTCTTTCTGCTTAATTAATTTCCTAACAGTTCCTTTATAAATAGAAGATGCAGATTTTTGTTCACTTTATTCATATCTGAGTCAGATTTTAATTTTCTGGGCTGTAAAAACCCTTCCTTGAAGTTCTGTGTGTTCTTTTGCTGAGCTCAGTGAGCCTGGTTTGACAGGTGTAAAATACTAAGCATTTTAAGGAACACGTTTTGAAGACCTCTGTGAATTGTTGAAGTTGAGTATCAGGGGTTGAAAACATGTCCAAACCTCTCAGATTGTTCATTGGCTTTTATGAGTGATTAGAGCTGGCATGTAGTTTTGCACACTTTAGCAGCTCAGCAGCTGTATTAATGAATCCATGGAATTAAATTGTATCCATGAGAAAAATGCTTTCATGCCAGTTGATGAATAATATTGTACCTCATATGTTGTTATATTATCTGGGGCAATCAGGATAGGCTTCCTAATGCAAACATGATCAACTTAGTAAAACCACTATTTAAGAAGTGAGTTTTCTTTTAAAAAATCTGTCTCTGTTTTATATAAATTAATGCCTTTTTTTTTTTTCTTTGCAAAATGGCCTCGGCTGGGCTCCTGCATGGGCATTAGTTGCGCCACGGGTGAGATGCCTGCCTGCCTTTTTGAGGCTGCCTTGCTCTTCCCGGCGGGCCGAGAGGGGAGTGGGTACAGAGTAGGTGGTTACCGATAAATTCACGTTTTAGTCCCTTGCACGTTTTGGGGGGACGTTCTGCAACGGCAGTAGCAGGTACAATATTAAGTTTTAACTTAAAAATGATATTCTGTCATCTCTAATGTGCTTGATATGCTGCACTAATGTTAGAATAATGTACTTCGCAGGGTGTTATGGTTGGAATGGGTCAAAAAGACAGCTATGTAGGGGATGAAGCACAAAGTAAAAGAGGAATCCTGACGCTGAAGTATCCCATTGAGCATGGAATCATCACAAACTGGGATGACATGGAAAAGGTGGGTGGTTATTTTTAATGCAATTTTGTTGAGGCATCATCTTATCCAAGACACACAATTTGCCGTTAACCGTCTTGCAAACCAAAGGGAAAATCCTTGAAGAATTTGTAACCGCAGTATAGGTAAAGGGATAGTGCAATATGCTAGTACAGGAGTTGGTCAGGTCTTGGCACCCCTAGGGTGACTGTTCTTTGAAAAAGTAAGTGCTTATTACTCATCAGATTTGGCAGTATGTTATAAAAGTATTTTATGCTTTCTATGTACTGTGTTAGGGCTTGAAGTTCATACTGAGGCAGAACGTTTGACAAAGTATCTAAAGTAAAAAAAAAAAAGGTTGCGATTCATCAGAGGTGAATTGGAGAAATATTAAAGATGCATGACTTAAGTTGGGAACAAAAACTGGAAGGTGGAAGGGTGATTTTCTCTCCTCAGTACTTGCCTACACGAACAAGATGATGGGTGATGCCTGCATCTTGTATTATGTATGACATTCTCACTGTCAATGAAAGAGGAAAAGACAGATTGGGGCTTCCTAGCCCTGTACTAATTCTTTGAGAGTGGATTTTTTTTTTCCCCTGAAGCACGTTTTTCTGTTGCCAATTCCAGTTAGCTTTTAACATCCGGATGGCGAGAAGGCGTTTTTATTCCCTCTCAAGCCCGACTTTCTTGGCATGCGGTCAGTGCAGCGAGCTCTTTGTGAAATGCCCACTCAGGGATGTCCCAGACCAGGCGCAGGCGATGAGGTGTGCTCATGGGAGAGGCTGGAGAGGCAGGAGGAGCCCGGAGGGCGCTCTCTCGCTCTGCTAAATATCTCCCACGTCCCGTGTGTCCTGGTCTCTTCAGGAAGCATCTGACTCTGTATGTGGAAATACTGTACGTTGTTTTTAAAGACAGGGTTGCAATTCAGTCCCTTGTCATCTCCAGGTGGAACAGTATGGGAAGGAAACTCCACAAGCAAATGCTTCTAGTAATGTTTTCCTGTGGGCAATGCCACTGAAAGAAAGACACGGAGCCAGTGGTGGTCTGTGCTCACACTTGCTGAGATGAGGTGTATACAACTGTAATACCCATAGCTAAAGTCAGTTACTGTGTCATATTCCTGACCCCAAACTGATAAGCATGGAGTGTTCCAGATGAAAGTCGATACAGGAGCAATGGGAGTTCCTCAGTTCATATTTGGAAGTAAATTGCCCACCTACTCCTCTAGATGGAAGCACAGTATTTGCATTTCATTACTGCACTGCTTGCTGGGAGGGCACCTTGCTCCTTTCTGCAGAGCAGAAAGTCCACCTCATACATCCCGTTCTGTTGTTGTTTCTGATAATTTTCCTGCTATCTGCATTCAGCAAGAAATCGTATTTCCCTGTAGGAAAAAATAAAATAAAATAAAATTGGAGGTCACTGTTTTATGTTCTTCCCTCAGTGATTGGTCTCTGCATCTGGAAATTGTCCTGTGTGTAACACATGCTGGTATCTGTGCGTTTTCTGGGTAGTGCTGGGTGCTAGAGCAGACTATCTAAAACCTAGTAAGGAAAAGGAATTAGAGAAGGTAAAAAAGGTGGCATGTGCTTTACTGCAGTGTAAATTCATGGCTAGATTGATTGGTTTTAGGGTGTAACATGGTGGAGGCTTCAGGCAGTGCTGTAATTCAAGTAACGGTCAGATACTACATGGGTTCTTGTAGTTTGACCTTTTCTTCCCTTTGTCACTTAAAGGGATGAAGGAATTACTTGTGCAAGCGGGTCCCTAGCCCAGACTTATCTCCTTCTGACGGACAGCTTGCAACGTAGCTGGCAAAGCTGCCCCAGCACTGAGTTGTGCTTGGACTTGTTGCTGAGCCCGGGAGCAGATGGGACAGAAAGCGGAGGCTGCTTTCAGGTGAATGAGCAATGGGCAACAAATAGAAAAAAGAAGCATGAGAGAAAGGCAGTGGTAGGGAAGAGACAAGAAAGAGCACTGCTGACTTCTGTGGTTATTGCAAATAACAAAAAAAGCATATTTTTTAATATACAGGCTTCCCTGAGTCAATCATATATCTCCGCTTCCCTTGAAGCTCTTTAACACACACACACGCACGCATGCACACACGCACACACATGTGCACACACTCTTACGGCCTGAAATGCAATTCCTCCCCCCGAGATTTTTAAACCAGTCGCATAATTTCAATCCGAACCACAAATTTCTTTCTAATGCTTGGAAATCATACTACTAAAAGCATCACGGTGTAGAAGAAACATGAGAATTACTGGGTAGTGTGCCAAAAACGGGATAAAGGCATAACAGTGCAGTGCCCGACCATCCAGACGTTACAAAAAGAGGGGGGTCACCGAAAGATGAAGCTGAGTGCGCAGGGGCGCGAGAGAAAGCGAGAGCGAGGATGCTGCAGGACGCGCAGACGTGCGTGTGAATGGAGGAGGAGAACACGTAGGCGATGAAATGAAGCATTCTTCTTCTCCTGTGCTTCAATTCACAATATTCAAATGGGGACTGCTCTGTTTTCAGCTGGATAATAACACAGGGCATTGTACATCACTGTTAATTTGTTCACAGCAACTGAGCTGACAACATATGGGAGGGAAAGCGTCGGGATGGAGCATTTTCTGGCTCTGGTGACTACGTAAATGTTTAATAGAAGTGTTGGAATAATTCTTCCTCAGTAATTTCTCTTTGCTATTGTGCTTGCTGCTTACATTTAATTCTCATGACCTATAAAATCCAACGCTGATCTATTTTTGTTTCTTGTAGAATATCATTATCCATTAACATTATGGTTACCATTAGGTCAAGTCTAATGGGCTGTACAGTGCCTAATCGTGCCTGGTTTTAAGGGAAAAAACCTGCAAACGGCCCGAGGCTTAGGCAGGGTCCTGCTTTACAAGTCCAGGTTTGTTCCTCAGTCCTGAAATCTCCAGTACTTCGTTAATCATGTAAGCACGGAGATTTCCTTCTCTTCCCTTAGTGCTTTCCTGTCTGAAATGGCAGTCTTTTTCTTCTTATATCTGATTTATATTTTTAACTTTTACATGATTGCTCTCTGTTTCATTCAACTTCTTCCTGTATTTGTATTCTAAACCTTCAATGGAAGATGGGCCGGTCATCCCAGGCCCCAGTTCTGGGAACATCTGATAATTTTTTTTAGGGGACTGAGATGAAACTGAAATTTTTTTTTTTAGGGCTGATAATTTTCTTAACAATTCCAGCTCAGGACAGCTATTGACTTTGTAGGTGCTTTGGATTTAGGTAAGATATTTTTCCACTTAAGTTCATTTTGGAGTGTAATAGTACTTGTTTCTAGGATATTAATCAAATAAACTTACCCATAAAACTATCCTGATGTTTTGTGCTCAGAAGTAAACTTGTTGGGTCAGGCAAAGATGGAATATGATTAAAAATAGAAAAAAAAGACATAAGGGTAGGAAAGAATTGAACAAGATGATAAATATTTCATTGTGTTACTGAACAGTCTGTCTTTGAGCTGGCATCAAGGAAAAAATCCCTTCAGTTCCTCACAGCCATAGTCCTCAGACAACCAAAGCCAGCATCGTTTGATAACAGGTAGCACCTTCCAATGTGAAAAAATACAACAGTACTTTACAGACTGTGACTAAGAAATTTAGTTACTCTATAGTAAGTGAGAGTTTGATTCAGGATTTACTGGATGGCATATCTGTAGCATGAAGGACCCTTCACTTCTGTGGAAATAATTAGATTTCCAAAGAGCATCTTGACAATGATTTGCAACTGGATCAGTCTCCAAGCAGCTTGGAGAAGTCTTTCCAGGTCTAACAACTCAGTGCTTGGCTCAGCTTCTGTATCAGAGCCCTGGGGGTGGGAGCTAACCGCTGCCCCTGCTTAGAGAGGGTGAGCTATGCTCTGTTTAGGGAATCCTAGCTGGAAGGGCTCCGTTGTGTAGGTTAGATTCTGTTGTTACATACAGTAGAAACCCAATGGTTTTGATTCTAAAACAGAGTTGAATTTGGCAGATTTTGCTCTTGCATGCTTTCTGTCTATTTTAACATGCCTGTAAAAAAATAATCACTCAGACTGTATTTGAAAAGCTTTCCATGTAGTTCTGTGGGCAGAAGAAATGATCTTCAGAACACTTTTCTAAAGCGATTTTCATTTTCAGATTTGGCATCATTCTTTCTATAACGAACTCCGAGTTGCGCCGGAGGAACACCCCATCCTGCTGACCGAGGCTCCCTTGAATCCCAAGGCCAACCGTGAAAAAATGACTCAGGTAATTGTCTGAACGTTGTGCCGCAGATCATTTCTGCACAGAAGCAGCTAAAAATACCAATAGTCCTGGGTATTCAACTTCCTTCTTAATCTGGGAGATAATCCCTGAAGGGTTAGCGTGGGTTAGCGTGCTGGCTAAGCCATGGAGAGAATGCAAAAGTTTCTGCTGCTCACGCAAGTTCTCTGGATGGCCCTAAAATGTTTCGTACTTGTGTGTGGCAGTGAGATATATGGAACTGGCCTCTTAAAAGCTTGAAGTATTTTTCTTTGTTCACAAGACTCCGTGTGTGCTCACTTCTTGAAGTGGGGAAGCTGGAGGCTGAGATGGCTTCTGATGCTGAGTTTTGGTGTGTAGATAATATTAACCCAGGATTCGTGTAATTTTTTGGATGGGGTTATGAGTCATTGAGGTATTTAAATCCGAGATTTGCCAGCGCTGTAACATGGGTCATGTATCAGCTGAATCACACTTCTGTGTGAGTTTTGGGTCAATGACGCCTTTCATGTGCCACCAAGAGTGCTCAACTTGTAGTGGCCCAGCTCCTCAGCTCGTGCTGTACCAGCTCCTGCTTTCTGCCCTGAAGACTGTCATTTTATCAACACTTTTGCATCAGACAAAATGCTAGTTATCGTATCGCAATTGCATTTTTTTCTTTGGAAGACTTGACTAAAGATGTTTGAAGGCCATCACGCAGATAACTTTGCGGAGCTCCCAACTGGAGCACCTCTTCAGGAATCAGGGGAAAAGTGTTCAAAAACTGGAATGTTTGTGCTGGCTTGGGAAAATGAGTTGTCTGAAGCGTTATAACTTAAATGATGCTTTGCTAAGTGTTTCTGCCTGTGACGTACCCGGTCTGACTTAGCAGACTCAGATCGGAACCAAAAGTTTGTCTGAAACTCTGAAGTTTGTATATTTTAGAGCAGCCTTCTGGCCTAAAGTCCGTGTTATAAATTTAGCCAGTGCTGAAACCAGAACCAAGTGTGATTTAAATACAGGTGTAGGTATAAAATCACCTGGGAAAATTAGGCTCTGCACTTCCCTTTGTGCTCATTTTTGGCATGTATTTAATAGGAAGATTATGCATCAATTTAGCAACAGTGTAAATTAATTAAGTAGTGAGCTTGACAGCATGCGTTACTGGGAGATAATACAACTGGGAGATAATAAACAACAACAGACCCTAAGAAAAGCCTAGTTTATAGCAACCAGGAAGCGTGGTTCATACAGTAGGCATGTCTAGGACTGTTTCTCTGTCATTATACTGTAATGATAAATCCTGTTTTCAAGATTGTTTAAAGGCTTATTGTTTATTACTGATTGCATTAAATTCATTACATTAATTAACTATGAAATATCGGTAATTCGTGTATTCTTTAATTGGAAGCATACTCTTCATTAAAAGTAGACTTCATTGGCAAAGGTACTAGCTTATGAAATCCAAAGTTTAAGCTTAACCCCCTGATGTCAGTGGCTCTGATGGGTACGATGGTGATGGCTGAGCCCCCATCCCTGGAGGTATTTAAAAGACGGGTAGCCGCGGCACGTAGGAATGTGATTTAGTAGTGGGCTTGGCAGTGTTAGGTTTATGGTTGGACTTGATGATCTAAAGGGTCTTTTCCAACCTAAACGATTCTATGATTCTATGAAACGTGGTCACAGCAGCACCACCAGTGATGGGGTGGCACTGCCTGGGGTAGGTGGCATTGGTTTAAGAAAGGATATGTGCATAGGGTTGTCCAGAGTGTGTTAATTCACTCTGTGCCCTTAATGGTTTTCCTTAGCAGAGCTCCAGTGGAAGTCCAGCTGGAAACAAATGTTATTCCATCTGCTCGGATAGAATTGCAGTGTATCTGACACAGGAGATGGAAAGAACTGGAGCTTGTTAGAGTAGGGGAGGTGGGGGATGAGACGAGAATATGGCTAAGGTCGGCATAAAGAGAAGACATAAACTGTTGTGTTTGCTGCGGGGGCAGAACGAGATGGAATGGGTTTAAACTAGACCAAGTGAGGTTTTAGCAAGACACCAAGAAAACCCTGATAATAGTAAGTATAATGTATCACTAGATTTGTTTGCCGGACGAATCTGTGGATGCTCCAGCAGAGGAATTTCTGAGACAGAACCAAAGCTGTGTCAGGAATGGCTAATTCTTCTTTGAGATGGGAATAGACAGATTATTCCTTGTGGCTTCTTCCAGCTGTGTCTTCTAAAAATTTTTGTGTGTGTGTATGTATATATTTATATATATTTAAAAGCCTTAGATTGCTGCGTTGTTGCAGTCCTGCCATCAGGGTAAAAACGTTATCCCAAGGTGTCATCTTCAATTAATATTATCAGTAAAAATCTGACCTCATCTGAGGTTAATGGAAAGACATCCACTGACTTCAGTGATATTTTTATTTTTTAATGAAATCCTAAAGAAAACATAGCGTGCTCTTCACAGAAGAACCATGGTTCAGGAGGGGATTCAGGAGTAGTAACTAGCAGTATTCATTTAAAAAAAAAAAAAAATCTGCTGTCTCTTCAGATACTCTTAAGTGTAGATCCTAAAGGCTTTCAAATTCTTCATTTCAGATTATGTTTGAGACGTTCAACGTGCCAGCCATGTACGTAGCAATTCAGGCAGTGCTGTCTCTGTATGCATCTGGAAGAACGACTGGTGAGTCCTTCTGGGAGTTGTGTTTGCCACCCATCCTCCTCTCGTGGCTCTGCGTACGCACACCCGCAGGTCCGCGGTGATCCTGAGGCACCGGCTGCGTGTTAAGAAGAAGGGATAGCCATGTGGGAACTGAATGCTTCCCACCACGCTGTGCAAGTGCCTCTTAGTTGTTTTCAACTTCATGGCAGGTGTGGGTGCAGATTTATGACTTTCTGCTTCAAAAGCTCAAGTGACTACGGCTCAGCTATATGAACAGATGAAAGATGATATGGTTCGATACTGCCCTTAATGGCACAGCACAGAGAAGAGGCTGTATCTTAACTAGTTTGTTCCAAACCCACTGTTCCTTCTTACTTTAGACCTACCTCTATTGTTAAGATCCATTCCCAGCAGAAAAAAAAAAAAAAACCAACAAAACATTCAGTAGCTACATGAAAATATTTCATTTAAATGTTGAATTTCAATCACCTAATGATGTCTGCTCTTAAGTGATCATTAGAATTAGCATGGAAGTCTCTTCTTATTGCCATTTAGAGTCTGATCAAGCACTGAGACGATAAATTACTTCTTAGCAACCCTTGAGTGTTCATATACTTTGAAAAAAATTAAAATACCATCTGTCTTTGTAGCTTGATGCCACAATAAAATTTTGTATAAAAAGATCGGCAGCTTACAGGAATTGCAGTTGTCATAAATACTTGTTTTATGTTTAAAATTCAACTATTTGTATGCATGTTTGGTATCAGACATGCTTTATTCATTCTGAGTGGAAAACACGTACTTCATTTCCTATCCAAGAATATAAGTAACATGGCTGCGCACAAATAAACTCTTGTTATATTTTCCCTAATGGGGTGGTTTATTTTAATGGCAGATTCAAATTTTTAATTTTATTTTTTTTAATTTTATAGATATATTTTTTTTGTTGTTGTTTTTTGTTTTTTACAGTTTGTACATTATATCATGTCTGTAAAGTGCTAGGTGTTGTCTGAAATGAAAGCCTCTGCATCCACGTAAGGTCATTATTGGTAGCATCTGTTCAGCAAGAACCATACAATCAAATTGCTGAATGTTATGTGTCTTTTTTCCCCAAACACAGTTGCTGCTTAGTTTGTGTTAACGATTTCAGCTCATGTGAGCAGCTCTTTAGTTATAGAAATAACAGAAGCATTTGCCACGTGAGCATCTTTATTTGTTGTTGCATGTTTCAACCGAGAATATGGAATACATGGAGACCCTGTGTCAGTGGGGAATAACCAGCTTCGTTTCTTTCGCTTTCCAGGAATAGTTTTGGATTCCGGGGATGGTGTCACACACAACGTGCCTATCTATGAGGGCTATGCCTTGCCTCATGCCATCATGAGACTTGATCTGGCAGGCAGAGACCTGACTGACTATCTCATGAAAATTCTTACGGAGAGAGGCTACTCTTTTGTCACCACTGGTAACGAGCTGTGCTTTGGATGCGCTTTGCATACGTTTGCTCTGTTAGTTGTCCTATTATGCAGGGAGCGCGTACCTGGTGAGATGCATCAAAACCCCTCGCACTAGGTTGGCCTGGGAAAAACATTCATGTTGGCTAATGGGGTTTTCCTGACTTTGGCTTTCAGCATGTATGCTGAGCATCAAGGACAAGGATGCCACCTCATTAGGAAATCCTAAGTCACTGACAAATGTAACTGGTTGTTGTGTTTGATCATACCTCTTCCACAGACAAAGCAACAAAGTTAGTAACCGGTAAAGGGTGAACCTCTGGGGATTTGATCAAGGTTTTGGGACACAAACATGCAAACGTTAATCTTTACAGTATTCTGTAGTACAATACATCTTTTATTTGCCGATGAGGGAAATTTGACAATGCAAAGGGAAAGTAATGTTGAGACAACAGAGAGGTCAGAACCCAATGAACCCTTACGACTGTCATGAACTTGGGGAAACATGCATGAGAAAATCTGTGTCCTGGCTGTCATACTCCATGTTGATTAAAACCTTGTTGGCTCTCTGCAGCGGAACGGGAGATTGTGAGAGATGTCAAGGAGAAGCTTTGTTATGTGGCTTTGGATTTTGAAAATGAAATGGCAACTGCTGCTTCCTCCTCCTCTCTTGAAAAGAGCTATGAGCTTCCTGACGGACAAGTCATCACCATTGGGAATGAACGGTTCCGATGCCCAGAAACTCTCTTCCAGCCATCCTTCATAGGTGGGACAGGACTTTGCTTTCTAGGGACTTGACAGAGAATGAAAAGAAGAATTTCTTAGAAGTATAGACAACATTCAGCTGTAGGAACTGAGGTATTTAGCCTCAAATGACCTTAGAAACATGCAGCTTCTATTGACTTAATCAGTTCTTTAGAATCTATGAACACTGCTGCTACAACTGCTGCACAAAAAGATGCCTGTCAGTTTAGAAATACCTGAATTCTAAGATGGTTTCAACCTCTTACAAATGCAGTAGAGTTTCTAAGATGATGTTTTAGAGTACTGTCAGAAGATTATGCTTTTTATCTTGACTGGCTGATCTATAACTGCACAGTGCTGCTTATGTGTTTTTTTTTAATCTAGATGCTGCTTCCATTTATCATTTTATTATATTCATCTATAATTTAATCATACACAATCAAATCGTACATTATTTTCCAGCAGTTTTATCTGTAGTGTTAAAATGCCCATTCTGTCCAGTGGATGACTGACACTTTATGGGGTAATTCGTACTGCCCTCACAAATTTCCTGCTTTCCACTTAAATTCCACTCTTGAGGACAGAGCAAAATGCCTGCAAGCAGTTTGGCACAGTTTCCATTAAACTCAGCGGTGAAGCTAGTTATGTTTGTATGTTGAAAGGAAACTATTCAAGTATTAATATAGCTCCAAGTTCTGTATTTGAGCATCAGCAGGAGAAATTCTTTAGTAGGTAGAGGGATTTGGCTGCCAGAAGTGTATCAGGGGTCAGAGCTGGTGCTCCACAATGGTCAGTATCAGAAACGTAGCGATGGAAATCAGTATTTCCTAGATCACAGATCTTGTCAAAGTGTGCGTGTTAAGCTAGTTGAAGTGTCTAGTACTTAAAGTTCAAACTGTATTCCCAGGACTGTATCTGGTCTGTTCCTTTTCTTTAGCAAAAAATAGTACCATAAGGTAACTTTACTCTACTGACATGCAAATTAAACCAACACCTCAAAAGCAAGGTAGCTCACTGAAATGCCATGTGGCCTTCTATTTTGAGCTAACAGCATCATAAAAGATTATGAAAATGGCAAACTATTGCAGTAATGCCTTGCTTTAGATTTTTTCCTTAAACAATGCTATTTTTTTTTACTTGAGGAGGTAAAAAGCCCAGTATGAAATCATAATTGGGATCTTTCCTCCTCCCAAGTGTATTTTGCTTGTATAATTACTATGTTGAGATTACAAAGAAGGTGAGGAGTGTGTCCTGGCTCTCTCCTTCCTCTCCTAAGCATCACATAGCGCTTTTTTTTTTTTTTTTTTTTTTTTTTTCTGGAGTTTTCTTAAGGGAGACAGCTTGGACTAGTGAGCCTTCCTTTCGTTTTAACAGTAAGAAAAAGAAGGGGACAAAGAGAAATGACATGTTGAAACTTCTTTGCACTCAGGGATGGAATCTGCAGGTATCCACGAAGCCACTTACAACAGTATTATGAAATGCGATATCGACATCCGTAAGGATCTCTATGCTAATAACGTCCTCTCTGGAGGAACCACGATGTATCCTGGGATTGGCGATCGTATGCAGAAAGAGATTACAGCTTTGGCTCCAAGCACTATGAAGATTAAGGTAATTTTAAACACCTGCACTTACAAAAGAAGCTTTTGTTGGAAAGTTAGATCTTATAAACAAATCAAAATGTCCAGAAGAGAATGTCCAGGTCTTGCATCCCAAGTTCTGACATTAGGAGAGCCTCGGGCAGCCTGCTTAATTAATATCTTTTCATCCTACCAGCCAAAGCAGAATTAAAAGAGGGATTTGAGAAGAACTGGAATAAAAACGGTTGCTGAAGCCATTGGGAGTTGATGAGCTCATTTTGAGAAAATGTGAAACAACAGTTAAGGAAGAGTGTCCTGTGGGCTTCCCAGTGAAATAGGGCTATGAGGGAGAAAAGGGCTGCTTGAAAGACACCACAGAACAACAAGAGAGGTAGGGATGAACTAGAGAAGATGGAGCTGTAAATATGAAAGGGGGCAAGAACAACTTGAGAATATACTGGGAATATTATAGGCTTCAAGGCTTAGCTGTCAGCGAGAGTCATTAGTGAAAAGGGTGAAAGAATAAATCCAAAATCCAAGCAGCATGCAAAGTCTGCAGCTTGTTAGCTATTTGAAAGGACCCTTTTAGCTTGGACTCAAGACAAGGTATAGTGAAATAGAGAGGCCCTTTTTATCGGGCAGCAGATGGCATGCTGAACGGGCACGACCCGGAGTGGCAGGAATGGAAACAGGAGCACGCAGAAGCCGGGGCACATCCAGTGTATTTTAGCAATTCAATGGCTAAGGGGGAACTCGGCAGGAGGTCTTCTAGCTCTACATCTAGTGCTTAGCTAGGTACACGATGCCAATATATCTTAATGTTTTGGTTTTTTTTTTTTTTTTACATAAAAGAATTTCTTTATCCTTAAAAATTAAGTGCTCAGACCATTCTGTGTAGTGTTGTCCCAGTGGTCTTTATTTACAACTAAATTAGGTTAATATTTCAAAACTCTAATTTTCTTTCATATGTGTTTGTAATTTTTTTGGTAGCTGTGTTATGGGCCATCTGCAGATATCTTATGGGCTGCCATATTTGTCTGCTCACAGTGACATTACAGCATCTCTATCGCCTTGAGGTGGAAGACAAAATATGGCAGCCTTTCTACCTCCTAGGTGCTTTACTTCATTGGAGTTACGCTTCTATGATGACAAGAGTTTCACCTAGTTATTTCATCCAAAGAGATGTTTACTCTGTTATCTGCTTGTCGCTTTATTTACAACAGATTGCACTTCTCTTCTAGATGATTGCACCACCAGAACGTAAATACTCTGTCTGGATTGGGGGTTCAATATTGGCATCTCTGTCCACTTTCCAGCAAATGTGGATCAGTAAAGATGAATATGAGGAAGCTGGCCCCTCTATTGTCCATCGCAAGTGCTTTTGAATACGTCCATCATGTACTGTCAGTGATAAGTAGTGCTGTTTCTCTACACATCACCTGCCCTCGCTCACCTCTGAGCGTGGTTTGGCTTTCTTCCACGTTTTAAAAAAAACACACTGCATGGATGTCATACGAATTAGCAAATTATTTCTAATTTTTGATGCTAAAATGAGACTAATGTTTCAGTGATGGGTGTTTTCCAAGATGAATAACGTTAGTTACACTATACATTTTTATAGACCTCCCTTCCCCCCCATTTTTAAGTGCCGTACTGCCATCCAGGAGGACGCGCAATGCTGCTGCGTGTTAGTCTCTGCTAATCAATGCTAAGTCTGAAGTATGCATGTAAGCGATTCTTTCAAACTCAAACATAATGCAGGATTTAGGTACCAGGGAAGGCTTATTTTACGCAGTGAAGTGGTACACAGGATTCTTCTAAGGGGATTTATTTTACTGAGGATACAGCGGATTTATGTGGGTGCCGATGTGCACATGGGCACCAATTCCTTCAGTAGAGCCTGTATGGATGTCTTCCTTGGTATCCTGCAACTGTTTGGCAGGAGACCTCCTTTGCCTCCCTGTGACCATCACTCCCCATCAGTAAGGAGCTTCAACAAGCTACAGCACTTCTGAACTTACACGTAACAGGTTAATTTATTGGATGTGTTATTGCTTTCTTCATCTCTCTTCCTAAGCAGTTAATTGATGTTTCATTTACTTTTGCTATATATGTGCTATGCTAAGCTAAGCTAATGATTACAGAGTAAGTAACAACCTTTTGTATATGTTATTGAAATACTCTGGGTTTAATGGATGAATAAAAGTGTAATTATCCATGTAAGGCTGCTGTGGCTTGCATTCATTTCATAGAGACTAGTTTCTCTGTTAAAATAATAATTATTAATTTATATTTTAATTTTGTTATGAAAAAAGTTTCATTCCCTCTGAGTTTTCTAGCTAAGCAATTTTTAAATGAAACCAGAATTGTTTCAGAGTTTCTATTTAAAAAAGAAAAAAACATCTTCCTGGATGACAAATTTTCATAATGTTCTGTACGAAGATTAGAGTCAGCTATGAAGATTCTGCTGTTTCGGATACCAGGCGAGTGTGTTCTATATGATTCTGGATGCCGTAGACTTTGAATTGATGTCAGGCTTGATGTGCGTTTCATGATTTAAATCAAACCTGTCAAGTTCTTGCCAGTAAACACAATACCCTCTTTCCAAAGATGGGGAAAAGATATGAGTTGGATTTACAGACTTCGCATCTAGGGGATCTTTTAAAGAATCTTCTTAGTACTGCGAGTTCCAACTCAGGGTGCTCTCATTTCCGTATCCAAGTGATCTCTTAATGGTAAAAGCTGAAAGACCTGTAAGGGAAGGATTCTTCAAAGGTCTGCTGTAGCAGATTATTTTTATTATTATTATTATTATTAGCACTACCTAATAAGTAAAAGAGATTGGTCTTACCTTCATTCCCACTTTTGAACAGCAGTCAGTTCAAATTGCCGGTATCCTTGTCTTCTCAAGCAAATGTAAATCATTGCATATTTCTCAGCCCCCGAATGAATTTTATCATCTTGGTCTCAGCTTATATGATTACTTGCTGCTTAAGTTGATGATAAATCACCTTGCATATAGGAATAGCACTGTCAACTGACCTTATCGCCTGCCTAAGAAACATAACTTACATTTTAATCTTGACCTGTTGTAGGTGTGATGTTCAAGGGTATAAGCCTAGGTACTTGGATCTCTGGAACTGAGTTACAATTGCAGTCCTCTGTAGTATCAAAGCAAAATGCCATTCAGTTTGCTAATAATCTGCTTATCCTTGTTTCAATATTAAAAATGAAGGATCTTCTTTAGATTTTCAATTCACTTTTTTTAATATATTGTTTAAGTATATACTTACAGCTTGTTAATCAGGAGACAAGAAAAGACAAAATGTTTAGAAATGTGTATTTTTTGGTAAGTGGCAAGGGAGGTACACGTTTGTAGCATTCGCATATACCTGAAAGAGTTCTTTGGGCTTTTCTTCTTCCCTCCCTTCCCCAGGTCTCCTTCTCTCGCTCTCCACAAAACAACTCTCTTCAGGCCTTGGTTGGCATCTCTAGCTCCTGGCACAGCTGGGACCAAGACGTGAGCTCTCCATGGTTAGAATATGAATCGTCATCCCGCAGCTGACTCCTTGTTCAGTGTGGAAGGGCATGATTATGCTCTGAATACCTCCCTAACAACCCACATGTGGAATCTTATTCAAAATTAACATGCTTCTTGAAAATAGAATTAATTATGTGCTAACAGCAAATACAGACAAAAATAAGTAAAACTATTGAGCTGTTTGTGTGATTTGGCAAACCTCTGCTGCTCTGAGAGGAAATTGCCTTAGCCACCATGCAAGTCCTGCTTTTCTATATGTGGTTGTATAGAACACTATAGCGGTTGCAACCGAGAGCAGGGAATACCCATAGCCAAGAAAATAGTTCCCAGTTTTCTCCAAACACTCACCTGGTGTTCCCAGCTACTCCTTGGTTACCGTTTCGCTTTAAGATTATCTTTAAACCCTTGGAGCCGTTAACGTTTATACTCAGTCATACTTGTGCATGCCTTAATCTGATGTGGAAAACTAGTATGGCTGATGATAAGTATCCTAAATTTGAAAGAGTTTCTATGGATCATGTCTGTGCAATATCAACAGTGCCACCAGTGCCAAGCATTCAGAAGTCATTTGGTCCTGGAGAATGGCTTTGTGTTTCACTTTTCTAATTTAGTAGGTTTTGCATGCTTAATATTCACTCAGGTTTTCTTCCCTACAGCCATACAGGCGATAAATATCTTCTTAAAAAAACCAAACAAACCAAATTTCTCTCGACTTTAGAAGTTAGGACTCAGAAGACGCCTCCCCACTGAACTAATGTATCTTGAGGTTCATGATAAATCATGGCTTTGCCATATCATATCAAGTAGACCTTATTGGCAGAGGTAGTCCAGAAATTTTTTATCTTAAGAGCAGAGGAACTTGATAGAGAAAGAAGAAAGATCATCTTTTATAATGAGACTTTTAGGTAAGAGCTATATTTATTTTTAATATATTCTGTTGTTTCTGTAAATAATATCAGCTTGTGGATGAGACACTCCAGAGTTCTGTCCGCTCCATGTACCTTCTCAGAAATGTAAGACAGCAAGCAAAGGCTACGAATAATTCTTTGAATGGCTGTGGGCAATCTACTTTATTCAGTCCATGCTGGTGGTTTAATCACATTTTTCTAAAGAGCAGGTAGACTATTACCAGGTGAATTTGCATCACTATTTTACTTCAAGGTAAGTGCATCAAGATCATCTAACTAGAAGTTACCTTAAATTGTTAAAATATTTGTGTCTTTGGAGCAGAAGGTAAGAGTTACTGTTAAACCGTGAAGGTGAAAGGCAATTCAACAGCTTGCTCCGAATGGGCTAACAGCATGTCGTATCCTCGCTACACACAAACCGATACAATGCGAAGGGAGCGTGTTGCCTTGGTCAGAATTTGAGGCTGTCTTGGAAAGAGCATCTTGCAACAGAAATACTAATGGCAACAACTGTTCTTCACCAGTTTTTTCTAGTTATGAAGACGTAAACTGTTCCGCATCAAGAGCGTGCCTTTTCCTGCTGGCCAAAGCTGCCCGGTGGGGAGCACAAGGTAAAGGGCAGGGACCTACTCCTGTTCCCAAAGGAGAACCCTCGGCTACATTTGGATGGTTCGGGCAAAGAGTCTTCTCCAGCTTCAACAGTAGAGCCATGTTTAGTTGCAGATGCTATGTCTTTGTTTTTTGAAGGTACGATTTTTTCAGTATATTTGCAAGATAAAATTCTTAAAATTCTCAACGTATGTTTTGGTTAACGCCACATCCTTTCGTTTGACCTTTACTAATGCAATCTTGGATCTTTCCAAAATATGCTCCCTAAAAGATCATTTTCCTAGCCTGCGTCTTTGATTATTTTACCTCCTTCCTTTATCCAAAAATGTCTGTCTTCACGTTCAAGACTCTTTCATAGCTTTAATGTTTCCTCTTTTTCCCTATCAAATGGTGGATTTATGCTTCTGATCAGCTTCTCTTTCAAATCAAGAATGCTGTTGCTTTTTCTTTCCCTGTGAAGCAGCTCCCTATAAACATCTTCACAATTTCAGTCCTTCTAAATGCTTCTATAAAACTTTATAAGGCCTTGGTGCCCCTGAATCCTAACCAGAATTAGAAGCTCAGATGGTTTTCTATCAAATGTTGCCCTGCCTTTTGCCACTCCAGTGTTATGCCTTTTCTTAGATTAAAAAGTTCTCATGAACAGGAACCCATTTTTGGTTTTTGTCTTTGTGCAGCACCTTTTGTAATCAGGTTTTTGGCCTCAGTCGGGCAGCTCTGCGGTGTATGTGTATCAGAGTTACTATGTGCTACCAGGCTGTCCTTTCTGTGCTCCTTAACCTTGCTGAAGTGCCCTGATTCTTTCACCTGCTCAATTTCTTTAACAAGTAATAGCATAAAATAGCTCTGGGTGTGTGAAGCGTTGTGTTTGAATACAATTCTTAAAGGTAAGGGTGCTCTTAAGTAAGAATAAGAGTATTTTTCAGACTGATATTTTTTTTGGACTGATGTACTAGATATATATGGTGTCCTTGTATAGTGTATGAGGTTCATCTCAGAACCCTGCTGCTTTTAGACTGTTAAAGAAGCTGTCTCCTAGGTATTTCAAAATTTTCCAAGGTTTTCTGAACTTCAGAGTTGCTTCTTTTTAATTTAGTAATAGCTGTGTAATAATAAGCTTTCATTAATGTTCTCAAAATTGCTTTCCTGGAAACTCGTTAAATAATGTGCCGCTTCAAAGCAACCCCTTCTCCCGTATTCCCTTTAACAAAGAAAACTTTGTCACCATCACTTAAATGTTATTTCTTCTAAAGGAAAGAAAATCTATCCAATGCAACAGTAAGCAGATATTCCCCCTCACACATTTTTCCAAGGGGAAATACCTTCTTTTCATAATAACTTGTAGGGGAAAATATTAATTCATATGAAGGTTACCGACTTCCATACATATAAGCTGGCATAGCTGCAGTTGCTTCTGTGGATGTAATTTATTAAATCCACTGAATATTT